ACCGGATTGAATCAAGCAAACCACGCCATAACCGAGAAGAACCTTCCGTTAGACCGGAGCCACCGATCTCGGACCATATCAAATTCAATGGTTGAGAGTCAACAGCAAGAGGGCCAATTTTCAAGTAGTACGGAGATCACCCCAGAGGATTGCAAAGTTGAGGATGCCCAAGAGGCAAGAGATGACGTTCTGACTGAGGTAGAGAAGGTGCATGAGAAAGACAATATGGAGAGCCCGGTTGAGGCTCATGAGGTGGTTACACTCACGGAGGAGAGTAGTGCACTACTGCATAGAGACTGTCCCGTTAAGTGCGATGATCCCGGTGGATTTTATATCGATTGTGCAGTTGGAGATATATATACCAGGAAAGGGCTATGCGACTTAGGGGCGGGCGTCAACTTGATGCCACTCTCGGTTTTCGAGAAGTTGAGATTGAAGAAGCTTCAACCGACTATGATCACTCTTCAGATGGCGGATAAATACCAAGTTCGTCCCACCGGAGTTGTAGAGGATGTTTGGTTGACGGTCGATGGAATTACGTTTCCGACGGATTTTGTGGTGGTAGATATGAAGGATAATGGTGATACACCGTTGATTTTAGGAAGGCCATTCCTAGCCACCGGACGAGTACTTATTGACATGGAGCTTGGTGAGATCACTTTTCGAGCCTATGATAAATGCCGGACTTTTACATTAGGCCGGGGTTGGAAGATTCAAGAGCCAAAGGACGGTAATCGACGCCATGGGAAGATCAAAGAGGAGTTTGGTATGAACGGGAATGATCCTTATTGAGAACTCGGAAGACGTCTAGCTAAAGACGTTAAATTAAGCTCTTGTTGGGAGGCAACCCATCGTTTATCATTTTTTTATTTTTATTTTTATTTTTTTTTTATTTTCATTTTCTTATTATATTATTTTATTGAAAAAAAAGGTGAAAAAAAAATCAAAAAACAAAAATTGGTGGTAATCGAGTGTTCGAGCGAAGCATGGAGAAGATGATCGTGCTAAAGGGTGCAAGGATTGCTTACGGTGGAGCGCGCTTGACTTTTCGGTTAGTTACTTAAGGTGTACATCATTTATTTTTCTCAAACTTAATTCTTTTCCAAAGAATAAGTTTTTGGGAATTAAGTGTCGTATATCTTGAGTTTTTATCGATTTATTACATATCATATAGTTGCTTGCATTAGTTTCATTTTTAGGTTATTTTTATTGTTTTTAGGATGCACGTTTACTTGTTTTATTAGATTAGTAATAATTTGGTTGAGTCGAATATTTCTGCTTTGTCTTGTGTGTGTTTCGGATGATTGGTGGATAGACAAGAATTGATTAGAGTTGCTTATCTTAATTAAGATATTGTGATGGTGATCATGAATTATATGCCTTGATTAATAACTTATATGCTTTGAATTAATGATTTATTTGCCTTGGAGAGGATTTGAGCCTTTATTTTATTTCTTGTGTGATTAGTCGAGTAATTGAGATACTAGAACTTGCATTGGTGCTTACTTGAAAAATATAATTATGTACGTGGAGTTTTGAAAATGATTTAGGCGATTCTTGTTATCTAGCCCGTTTTATCCTCTTTTATTTTTCCTAAAAATTTTATCCCTAGTAGCCCGTTTGAGCCTCGAGCCTTTTCTTGATAGCCCTTGATGTGATTGATTTTTATTTTGTGGAGATGTTGGGGGTTGAATGAAGTTTGATGTGAGGATGAGCTATGGTGATTTTTTTTTTTGTTTTGGGAACATTGAGTATGAGATAGGTTGTGATT